ATAACCCCTGAGCACCCTCCTGCCTGTCAGGGCCTGGAGGAGTCCAGGTGGTCACAGCATCCAGCCACATTGGCAGGGACACCACAGCCCGGGGCCTCATGCTGTGGCAGGGTAAGAATCCCCTCTCGGGGAGTTACAGCATCATTCCCTGCCAGCACATCACCCGAATGCTGTGCAGCTGCCCAGCACCACTCTGGAGGGGACCAGCCTTCCCCCAGCACTGAGCCAGGCCCAGGACAGGGCTCAGCGCCCCTCATGTCCAGGCCAGGCATGTTTGCACCAAGCTCCCCATGCAGCCCAGGGGGGTCTGCCAGCCCTGCTCCCACTTCTCTGTCCTGGCACATAGGGACAAGGCCAGACCCTCAGCCCCCACAGCCACTCTGTGTCCCCTCTCCCTGAGTGACCTTGCCACATTCTGGTGAGAGACTAGCCAGCACCCAAGGGAAAAGCATATCGTCCAACATGCCAGTTTCACCTTTACTTCTACCAGCCTCACTTTGGCTGGGGAAGCACCACAGTCAGCCAGGCTGTGTCTCACAATTCATCCTTCAGAACCAGCTTTTGGCCACTGCAGGCACCAGGCTCCCTGGGCCAGATGGAGCTTGGTTTTGACACGCAGATCTGACGCTAACACGGAGGGCACACTGTCTTTCCCGGATCATGTCTCCTCCATCACTTTCCTGGTCAGCACAGCAAGGTGCAAGGTGGTGGTGGCAAATCAAGGTGGGACACTGTGTGGTGACACTACAGGGGACAGGAGAATCCAGGCTGCCTCTTGAAAGAGAAGAGGAGCAGCTTTTGGGCTGATTTCCAGCTCCCCTCCCCATGCTGGGATTAGATTTCCAGTATGTGCATTTCTGCTGACATCTGTGCTGCAGCTAATGGCCAGCTCTGGATCCATTAAGTTCACAGTGTCCTGGTCTCCGGATGCGCTCCAGGAATCAATAGCCGCTCACCCCTGCCCATTTCCTGAGATATCCTTCCAGCGCTGCAGGCTTGGGGCGGACAGCAGTTCCTGGGTTCGGAGCTGGAGAGGGATCCTGGAGTGACGTGGATGGCAGCAGGAGCTCCCAACTGCTGACCATGCTGCTGCCTCTCAGCTCTGACCGGTACACGGGGCCCTGCATCCCCGCACGCCTGACCAGCGCCAGCCCCTACGGGTGCTTGGGAAATCTGCCTCAGCTCCTGCATAACACTGAGCTGATCACAGCAAGGAGGAGGCAAAGCGACTCCAGGCACCTGGGATCCACTGCTCTGCTCGGAAAAGCCCATGAGAGGCCACAACACCACCCTCCCTGCCAACTCTGGGAGGATGCCAGGGGGCTCATCCCCGAGTCAGGCCCCCAGGTGCCCATGCTGCTTTGTCACTAGAAAAGCTAGTCGGGGTTTTTGGCCCAATAGTTATTGGCTGAAAAACTGCAGTTTCCAGATAGTCCAGAGCTATTTGCTACTTCACGACAGGTTTGGGACAAAACAAAACAAAACAACACAACAACAACAACACTTTGTTGCTTTGTTTTCTGAGTTAAAAAGTCTCATTTTGCATTGTTTTGTTTGAAATAAAAGATACCTTAAACTCCACCCCACCCCAAATTTGGGGCACTCTATAAAACAACTGTTTGTTCAGCTCTGCTCTCCTTGCTCTCCAGAGAGCCTGCGAGTATCACAAAGCAGAGGGATGCAGTAGCTCTACACGAGCAGCAGCTCGAGGGAAACTGTTGATGTTTCTGGTACCACACGCTCGTTCCAGACCTCTGCTCGAGCTCTCCAGCGGCCAGCGAGTGCTCCCAAGACAAGAGAGAGCAGTGAGGCCCTGTGCAAGGGACAGCGGGTGCGACACGGGGGAAACCTGCCCATCCAAACAGGCAGTAATTTAGAGTCACAGTCAAGAGGTCACAGCCGCTGGCTAAGGGGCATGCAAGGGGCAGGCCTTTCCACGCAAACAAGGCCCAGCTCCCTGCAAGGGCAGCACGGCCAGGCCTGCAGCAGCTGTTCCCAACACCGTCCCTGGCAATGCTCTGCAGCACGGGGACCCTGGCGCTCACAGGGGGCAGAGCAACGGAGGGCAATTCCCTGTGCGCTAGGTGAGAGCGCAGCCCCCTTCACCACGGGCTGCCTCGGCCTGGGGGACACGTCCAGGCAGCCGCTCCGTGCCCAGAGCTATTCCTGGCACTGCTGCCCCCGGTGCCTGAGCGAGGCTGCAGGCGGAGCACGGCCGGGCGGGAAGGGAACAAGGGCACTATAAATAGCAGACCCGCGCGGCACAGGGCCGGCTCAGCCCTTCCCTGGGGATGCTGCTAAACCAGCCGAGCAGCTCGGAAGGACACTGCCACCCACTCGGGACACACCACGCACTGTATGGACCTGTGGTGACAGACACCTGAACTGCAGCCAGGCCTGTGCTTTGCAGGCAGGCTCTGACCACCCTGTGGAGGAACAGCCGGGGCCTGGGCCGAGAGGCTGCAGACTTGGCCACAGAAGGGATACAAAGCAGCGAGGTAACAACGAACGGGGCAAAAGGAGGGTGGTGGATCGCAGGAAGGAGGCAGTTCCCTAAGCCAGGGTGAGAAAGGAGAATGCTCCCAACATAGAAACTGCACGGGGCCCGTTCTCAGCACTCCTTCCAGTCTCATCCTGCTATTTGGCACATTCCCATCCTTGAAGCTTCACACACCACTGAGCTAAATCCTGAACTCTGACACCAAAGGACAAAGGCAAGGAAGAAACGACATATCGGGCTCACTCGAGCAGCAGAGGAACGGGCCAGGACAAAAACTCCCGTCTTCAGCAGCCTCTGTGCAGCACCCAACCAAGAGCAAGCGGGAGGCATAGGAGCTCAGCCCACCCTGTGACTGTCAGCACTGAGGTCCCCTCCTGCCCCAGGAAGGGTCTTGCCCTTTTCACCACACCTCTATCCGCATTACTCTTATGCTGCTGGTGCCTCTCTGGAACAGGAAGCATTTTGTCTTCTCCTTCATACTGATAGCATGTGTCTCATGCAGGGATTTCCACCTCTACACAGGAGGGCAACTTGTGTGAAGCTCCATCCACAGGAGGGCAACTTGTGTGAAGCTCCATCCTCAAGCATCACTGCCTGATACCAACTCCTCCTGCTTTCAGGAGGAAGCCATGAGCTTTCAGCAACACGAGGAGTGCAAAACTGGAGTTCATTTGGGCATACGCTGGGGATCAGGATGCAGGACCAAATCAGGAACTGAGGGAGAGGTGTATATACACAGGGAAAGCCAAACTGAATAGCCCAGCATATAAACCACTGGTGGATGAACAGCAAGCAGAAAAACCAAAACCCCTTAATACACTAGTAGCAAAAATAATTGGGTCAGGAGAAGCGCTGGCTACAAAGCCACCCGGAACATTTCAGAAGCTCATTCCCCTCCTCCCCCACAGCTGTCCTGCTCCCCCTCTCCCTTCCTGCTCTGCACAGCAAGGAGAGGACAGGGTCTGGAGTTCAGGTGAGTTTCCACTCTGGAGAAAGAAGCTTGATAACAGACCAGGCAGGAAGCGAGCACCCATTGAGGAAAGGATTAGTAACCCCTAATCTGCACTTTCAGAGACTAAGAACTTTATTGCACTCTCCAATTAAACCATAAAGCACAGGGATTGCCAGAAGGGGGAAGAGGAAGGAGACAAAACAGACAGTGACATAAGGGCTGTTTCCCTGTGGCTGAAATGCAAGGTGGTCACTGCAGGGGATGTATTTCCTCCTCAGGTACTCAGTACTGGGGCTCCTTAGCACCCCATGGCCTCCCCTGCCAATCCATAGGGGGGCTGAGGGCAGAATGAAGAGGAACCTTCAAGATAGTCTGGGGTGAGGGGAAAGGTGAGGGGCTCCCTCACACAGGCTGAGGCTCCACCTGTGATAGCCTGGCCCGTTTGGCCATGACTCCCCCTCTCGAGTCCCCTGCCTCCTGGGAAATGGTGCAAGTGCCAAGCCACAGTTGTCTCCGCTTCCCAGACCTGGCTGCACAGAAGGGCCTTGTTTGAGCGCTTATCTGGCCCCAGGCTGGGGAGGGGCCGGTGCCTTTCTGCCCTGGCATCTAAACAGGATGTTCAGCTCCGTGCTGGGCTCATTAGGGGCTGGCTGACAGGAGAAACTTTCCTGGCACAGGTAAAGAGGGAAGCCTTTTACCGCAGCCCAGGCAAACAAAGCAGTTCAAACAACAGCCCGTTTCCCTCTGAGGGCCTCGTGCCTGCGCTGAGAGGAGGCAGAGGGCTCAGGGCTCCCTCCTGCTCACTGCTGGTGCCTCAGCACAACAGGGACAGCCTCACCCCGGGGACCACAGAGGCAGCGGGGCCAGCAGCTCTTGAGGCTGCAGTGCCCAACAGCTCCACAGCACCAGGAACAAAGCAGCTGGCAGCAAAGTGGGACAGGAGTGCTGGGGAAAGGGCTCACCTCCCCAGATGCTCAGCTTCCAGAGAGCAGGAACGGGGGGGAGTGCAGGGGCAGCCTGTCACTCCAGCATCCCTCTCTTCCCTTGTTCCTATTCTTTGGAATTCCTCTCCTCTGTTTGCTTTGTTTCAGCCCTCAATGAACAGGAAGAAAAGGGAAGGAGCCTTGACAAATCCGATCAAGGCGCAGACAGGCTGAGCCCCCTCCCGCTGGTGTGCCAGACCCCGCACTAATGAGGGGCCGCAGAGGCAGCCCCTGGGAAGAGTGGCCCCTCAGCAGCACTTGGTGCACAGGACACAAGGAAAAGAAAGGTGCCAGGGCAGAACACCCTTAGGACAGACTCAGCCTTCAGGACTCATTGCCCCCAGCCCAGAGAGCTTCCTCCAGCTCCTCAGCCCCAGGTTTAAGTCCTCTCCCATCTACTACACTAGAAAGAGGCAACAGACAACAGAGTTGGAGGGGAAGGATCCTGCTTCAAGACCTCCTGCCATGCAGTTATCCACAATTTAGCAATGTGGGTGTACAAGCACTAAGACAGCATGGGAATGAGCACACAGAACCTGCCAGGTATACAAGCCAGACGACCAACCTTTGGAGGCTGCCAATGCTGCCAGGGTACCTGGAAAGAGCCGAAGAAGCTGGCAAGGCCCGGTGCTGGCTGTGAGGACCACTCTAGCTAGGGCTTCTCATCTTCAGGGTCAGAGAGCACATCCCAGGCGTACTTGGTGTTTTGCAGCTTGTCGTCACCTGAAACCCGAAAGACAAGCAGTCATTTGAAAAAGCTACTGCTCAAAGCAGCTCTGGAGGACGGTCCCTGCACAGCCAGGCAGCACAGCCCCATGCTTGGACCCCGTACATGCCCCCAGCCTTCAGCAAAGCCCACCTCAGCCTCACCCAGGGCTACCCAAGCAGCCCATGGGGCAGCATCAGCTTATGGCACGTCCCCAGTTCCACACTGGAGCTCGGTCCTGTAACAGGTTCCCCACCCAGGCGAGGAGAACCGTGCACGTGTCCGCAAAGTGCGGCACAGCCACAGCCACTGTGCTCCAGAGCAACACGCACAAGCCCTCACACCAGCTCTTCAGCAGCAAGAGGAGCTGGGGAAGGTGAGCACCCCGGTCCCCTCCCAAGCGATAGCAGCAGCAAGTGTCCAGCTCGTAAGCCAAGGAAGGGATAAACTACCCAGTGCAGTAACCTGAGCCTCTGAAACACCCTACGCAGCCCCAGGAGGGGAGTCAAGGGAGTCTATCCAGACAGATGCACAGCAGGGAGAGCAGAGGCACCAAAGAGCAGAGGCAGACAGCAGCCCCTGGGCAGCGCCGGGGGGTCCTGCCCGGCTGGGCACACGCACCCCGCGGCCACGGCTGGCGCGGGCGAGCTCTCCACCCAGCACGACACACGGATCATCGTGCCCTTGTGTGGAAAGGCACGGAGCCAGAAAGCAGTTTACTCCAGATCACACGAGTAGGCTGCAGCAAAACAGGCAGAGGAGCAGCAGTGACTAAATGCCACTCTGTTCACATAAGGCAGAAACACATGGGGAGCAAGACCCTCCAACCAAACCAACCCCCCCAAAACAACAAACACACACAACTGAAAATGTCTCTCTGGTCTGTCCCAGCTGGATGAAAGCCCTGAACAGAGCAGCATGCACCACACTGCCCCACAGGCAGCCCTGCCACAGCACCAGTTACACCCCTCCAGCCACAGTAAAACCCAGACCAGCCTAGCGTGGCACAGTGTGAAACAAGGACTGCAACGTCCATCTCAACAAGGGCTCATAACAACAAATACTTCATAATAGCTGCTACCTGAACAGCAAAATCCAGCAACTCCAATGAAGAAGCACCACAATTGCTCAGCAAAATCCTCCTCCAGCAACAGAGACAGATGCTACTTGTGCCTCGCGAGTCTCCCACAGTATCTGGCTAGCGGAATGCAGCTAGCTGCAGAACACATATGGGCAGGAGGGAATGCTACAGTGTACATCAGGAAACAGGCCCCTCTTCTGTCAGCCTCCTCTGCCTGCCCTCATCTGTCAGCTCCCACCTCGGACTGGAAGGGTTTGTAGGTGGGAATCCTCAAACATGTGGAGAGCAGGGGGAAGCACGTGAACTGGGATGCGGAATCTGTCTGGCCCTCGTCCCCTTTGCAGAGGAAAGGGTCACAACCCTCCCTCTAGCATCAGCAGAGCCCTGCATTTACAGGGAGCCCAGCCCCAGGCACCCACCTGGAATGGGAAGTAGGAGGTGCCAGCAGGAAGACGAGCGGCTTCAACACCAAGAGCTGGGCAGCTGAGGGCTCCCTCAGCACAGCCCCCGAGGGCGAGGAGGGCCAGGGCCAGGCAGGCACACGGCTCCAGGCCCTGGGAGCAAGCTCCCCATGCACACACACATGCAGCAGGAGCAAACTCCCCGCACACACACACACGTCAGAGCCTGCTCCCCGGGGTGCAGCTCGCAGCCACCCGCCGCCCTTCAGCCGCATGGCAGTATTTGCACAGCACCAAGTGCGGGGCCTGCGACACCCACGGCGTGCTGGGACCCGTTCCTATGTCACCCTCCTTCCCAGGGCAGGGAAAAGGGCAGGCAGGACACACGGAGCGTGGGCGACAGAGAGGCCTTGTGTGGGCAGTGAGGGGAAAAAAGTCAGAACCAGAATCCAAGGGCACTTGCCCCCTTCACCCGTGGTGGCAGCAGCACCATCTCCCTCAGCACCCGGGAGCTGAGTGTCTCCCTTGAAGCGATTCCTCCCTTAATCCAGGCCAGAGAACTGCATGTCCAGAAGTTTTTTCCAACTGCATCACACAGTTATTAAAAGATATTGCCTCTCTCTTAGCCTTTAAGAGGCAGATTTGGGATCCTGCAGGATGGGCTGCATGCTGATAATGAATCAGAGAACGCAGTTATCCAAGCAACAGTCTGGAGCTCTAAATGGTTTTCTGGAAAAGGCGTCTGGATGTGGAAGGCTGTGCTCATATTGCAGGCATTTGCTCCCAGGAAGCCAAAAAAAAAAAAAAAAAAAAAAAAAAAAAACCCCCCCCAGGCTGGGAAGGGCAGCAGCACCACAACAGAGGACAGCAACAAAAGGCCTCCAAGTGACAAGGACCATAAAGCCCCCCTTCAGCCTGCCCGACTTGGGCTTCCTTGCCCTCGGAACATCACGTCAAGCAAAAAGGCTGCCAACACCACCTCAGGAGCAGGAGCTACACCACCATCGCACCAGCGGCTGTCTCTGCAGGCCCCGGGGGGTGGTTTGGGGCTGGAGGTGCACCTTGTCACCACCACCACACTCGGAGCAGGGTGTGCTGCATCGCCCCGTGTTCTCATCGCCCCGTGTTCTCATCTGGGCGCGGAATTGAAGCTCTCCTGAAAGGTGCCAGCCTCCTGAGATACCACGAGTGAATCAGGCCTTCCATTCTAGACAGGGCTCATGTGTCAGGGACTAAAATACTCTCCGGGCATGCATGTGCCTACAGGTTATTTGGAGTTAGTCACAATTTATCCCCAGCTATTCCAAGGGATGGCTTCACCCAGAAGCCAAGAAAATAGACTGTCCTACTGCAGGGCAGGAAGGGATGCTCTATGGAGACAGGGCCAAAACGGCCACCTCATCCCACACCAGGGGTCTTCAAATCCAGTAGGAAAACTGCATTCCTCTTTCTCCAAGATCTCACAGTGACAGATTCCTTCCCTCATGGAAGCCTAAGTGCAGCAGGATAACATGTCTGGGGAGAACATCCCCTTTCCCCACCATTGCCAACCTCTCAAGATGCAGCTACATGTCCCTGCACTTCCATTCCTCTGCTGCAGCTCCCCAGGTCTACAGCAGAGAAATGTATGTACCAGAGGCATCTCCCCCCACCCCAGCCCGTGGCAGGGTCTGCAGCAGGCCTGTGCTGAGCACGGCTCAGCCCATGGCAGTGCTCTGCACAGGGCCAGGCTGCCCAGAAACGCTTCTGCAGATCCACTCACTTTCTCAGTTTGCTTCTTTCTGTGCAACCACCACGGAGACTGCAGCGCTCATCAGAGCACGGGAATCATTTGGCCTCAGCTACTGCCAGGGGATTTCCAGTAAGCAGCAGCCCTCAGCAGCCAGACTGACAGTAAGGGCTGAGAAAGGCAGCGCTCAGGGATCTTTCCAGGTAGAGAGGAGAGGGAAATTAGCCCCTTAACCCAGATTTACCTCCTACCACTCCAGGAAGAGGCAATTTCAGCCCTGCCCAGCCACATGGGCTGTCAGCTGCTTTGAGTGCTCCCTTAGAGCATATTTACCATAAAAAGTACAGGGTTGTTACTGAAAATGTCCTCCAAACTCACTCACAGGGAGGGAGATTAACAAAAACTCCCACAGAAGGGAGATTAACAAAAAAATTAAAAAAAGGAGAAGCGACAGACAGTGACTGAGGGAGGCAAGGGATGAAGAGCAAGCATCTGCCAAGAAGTCTCTCACCCAGGGACAGAACAGCGCTATCTAGAGAGGCCCAAGGACTTTGTGCACGGAGCTTCACCTCTGGCTGAAGACAAGGTGCCTCTGGCAGTGCCCCAGGCGGCCGGCTCTCGGATTGCGGCCTGGCACGGACAGGGCTTCTCCTTGAGAGAGGGCGTCAGAGCAGCTCCCGCAGTCTGCACTGGATATGGATATGCCCCTCGGGCCGGAGCCGCAGCCTCTCCCCGCGCGGACGGGGAGGCGCCTCGCGCTAGCGGCCCTGGCACCAGCGCTCCGAGGCGCTCACAGGTAGCTCCGCGCTGCAAAGGAAAGTTGGGTCTAATCCACGTGACTCTGACTCAGAAAGGTTTGTTTAGCGCCACACTGCTTGCCAGCGGGATCGCGTGCCCTTTGCGAACTCAGCCTGCTGGAACACAAGCCCTCAGGGAAGGCAGGAGAAGAGGGGAGAGGGGGAAGGACAAAGCGCCCGCCCATGCAACTGTGATTCTTGCGGTGGACGCGGTGGGCACACAGTGCATCCATTGTGTGGAGGCACCGGGCAGGAAGGAGGAGCCGCGTGCCAGAGCACCCTGTGCACAGGGGAGACCTGCAAGGGGCCTTGAGGCGCCTTCCCCACGCGCCTGGGCAGCCTCCAGGGGCCGGGGGGGATGCGTTGCAGCGCCAAGAG